TCCAGTGAATGGCTGACTTGATGGAGCGTATGATTGACCAATAGGCTCAGGGCCACGGGAATGCTGTTGGAAACCCTGGACATAATCCGGGACATAATCATGAGAGCGAGAACCGTGCCTTAGAACGGTTCCAAAAGTTTGCACCTCCCAAGTTCATAGGAGGACCTAATCCTGATTTAGCAGAAACCTGGATGGACTGTATGCTCGATATATTTGCCGCGCTTAGGTATTCGGAAGAGCGGCAGATATCTTTTGCTGTGTTCCAGTTTGAAGGAGCCGCTCGAGCCTGGTGGAACGTGATTAAAACTAAGTGGGAGTGCGAACAAACCCCCTGGACCTGAATCAATTTTACCCGAGAATTTAATGAGAAGTATTTGCCGCCCATCGTGCAAGAGAAACAGGAAGATGATTTTATCCGCCTGCGTCAAGGTGCATCTAGCGTGGCAGAGTACGAAACCCAGTTCACTAAACTTTCTCACTTTGCCCCAGAGCTGGTGTTAATGGAGCAGAAACGAATCCGTCGATTCGTTCAAGGTTTAAATGTGGAAATCCAGGAATCGCTAGCAGCTGCTCAGTTGAACACGTTTAGCCAAGCGCTAGAAAAAGCACAGCGGATTGAGACTGCCAGGGCACAGGTTAAAGCTTTTCATGACCGGAAAAGAAGGCAACCCAGCTCGAACGATTCCCCGGTTGGACAGAGTTCGCGAAACGAGCCACCTGCTAAAACAAGTAAAGGCACAGATGGTCCACGACCTACAAGAAATCTGACTAGCTTTGGGCGAGGTCAAATAGTGCGAGAGCCCCAGAGGAGTGCCCAGCGTGGAGGGGCAAGTACGGCCACTAAGCCAACCTGTGGTTTCTGTGGGGGCAATCACACTGATGAAAATTGTTGGAAAAATAGTTCGGTACGGAAATGCTTCAAATGTGGCAGCACCGAACATCTGATTGCCCGGTGCCCTAAAATGCAAAAAGAAGGACTCAAGCCACCGACTGAAGGGACCACAACGAAGCCGTCAAATGCAGGGGAAAATCGACTCAAAGGGCCAGCCAGAGTGTATGCAATGGGTCTACCCGAAGTGACTGACCCTTCGGTGGGCTTCGAAGGTACGCTTTGATAAAAGAATTAATTTCGATGACGAAATTGTCCTAAGTGGGGGAGATTGCGAGGCCCCAGTTCGTTCTACGTTGATATATTCATTAATTGGGCGGTAACGTTTGGTTTTGGGAGTATTTCGAAAACCCTAAGTAGGAATTAAGATTTAAACCCTAAGTTCCGGTTAAAATTGAAAACCCGTTTTTCTACATTTTCTTTATTAGAAAATTCCCCAGATAATTTTTATTGAGTAAATAGAGTTTTTAGATGATTTTTCTAGTATTAGTTAGTTTTTGAGAAATTAAGAACGTATATCGGACGTGGGACCCACTAGTGCGAAAAGTTCGAAAAATTTCGGCCAATTAGGTTAAGTTCTGAATACTGGATTTAATTTACCGGGTGTTATGAGATAATTGAAGGTTGATATATGGATGAGAGTGGAGAGAGACAAAGTGATAGACTTGCATTAAATAGGGTGACATGTGTCACCATATGATTAATTCTTGTTTTGACTTTTTATTCAACCTTTTTCCAAATTCTAAATAAAACCAAAAATTGACCAAAAATCCCTCAAAAACATAGAAGCTTGGCCGGCTCTCTTCCTTGAAGAAACAAGAAAAACCTCTCTCAATTTCATACTCCAATCTTGCCCAATCTCACAAACTAACCGGTTAATCTTGAATTCCTTCCATAAAACCTCTTAGTTTGGTGCTTGTAAGGTGTTGTGTGGAGTTGGTTGGAAAGCTAGAGGACCTAGTACTCTCTCTCTCTCTCTTGTTCTAAGGTAAGTTGTGAAGGACCACTTTCCTTCTTCTAATAATGTTTAATTCATGCTTGGTGATGAAATAAGATGCAAGTTTATGGATTACATCTTGATTTTGGTTGGATTGGTGAAACTTTCTATTTATTGGTAATTTTTTCTGTTTTAAAATGAACATGATTGTGTGGCTATCTATGATGATTGGAAATGGTATATAATGATTCTAGAGGGTGGAAAAGGTGGAAGATTGCAAGGAATTTCTGTTTTGGAAGAAATCTGGAAAATTAGGGTTCTTGGTTCTTCATTCTGTCCGAAAATTTTGGTCATAGATAGAGGCCGAATTGGCCTTGGCTTAAAACATGAAAGTTGTAGGTAATGACATTTTATAGGTTCCTGTAAAATTTCAGGTCAATCGGAGTAGCGTAGAGTGAGAAAAGTCGAATTTACCCTTGCTGTTCTGGTCTTGGCCGAATGTAAGAACTGCGATTGTAATTGGTTGTTTTGGTTGGGATTGCTTCTGAATTGGTTGTTATGGTCTTCTGATGAAATGTAGTCTTAAATCTTAGCTTTCATATGGCTTTGGAATTTCAGAATTTGGAATTAGGTAGCCTGTTTTATGATTTTTGTGCTAGAATACGTTTTGTGAATCTGCTTTTCCGATGCTGGTGTAGTATCTTGCATTTTTGACCTAGTTATACTCGAAACTGGATTGAGTGGCCTTCTTCAACATTGTAGCCTCTTAGGTCTTGAATCTACTTGTAAAATTTCAGGTTAAATGGATTAGTGTATCCTGAGTTATGGACAAAACCATCAGGCCTGTTTTAGACGTTCGTTTGTGTACGTTTTGAATTTCAGTTTCTGACAGTGGGTTTTTCCGTATTGATCCCATTCGATCTGGGTGTCGACTCCTTCATAAGAAATTTAGATCTTGGTCTCAGCTTCGGAACGGTATAAAGTACGTTGAAATCCGAGTGCCGTAGCTCCTGTTATGATCAAAACAATATCGATCGTCAGAACTACCTTGTATTTGGACAGTTCTGACGGGTATTTTGGCACTCGATTTTCGTTCTATTCTGAGTGGATTCAGATCTTGGCCAAAACATCAAAATTTTAGCCTTATGTCTCAGCTTTCTAATGGCTTTGGAATTTCCTGATTTGGACTTGTGAGCTAGAAGTTATGGTCTAGTAAACAGACCCTGTCTGTCATTCAAAGTGCAAACTTCTGGTACCGTTTTCCATGATTTCAACTTGTTTTGATTCGGATCCAGTTTAAGGTGTCTTCATGAGAATTGTAGGCCTTCCTCATAGCTTCGAAACGGTGTCTCGTTCACCTTGATCCGATATTTCTAGCCTAACGTTTGACCAAAACGGTTTGAGATGGCGGATTTGGCCGTCCCGTTTGCCGTTCCGCGCGTGCGCGTGTGCCCCTTTTTGCCGTTTCCGCACTTGCGCGTGCCAATTTTGCCGTTTTGCTTGTTTTGGGCATGTTAGTGGCCGTTTGTGATAATAATGTGATAAAATCTTCCATTTCAGACAGCGGTGAGCTAGGCGGAGCCGGTGGGGCCCACTACTAGCGAACGCGCGAAGCGATTTTGCTTTAGTACTACTTTCGGTATTTTGAGTAAGTATTCCGGCCAGTTTGGTGTATTTTCTTTGCTATGTGTTTGAGATATGTGAAAAGGGTACTTAGGCGAGGGTGTACTTTATCGCACTCGACCTAAACCCTAATTTGAATGTATAATTGTACTTGGCATATGTATATGAATCTTTTGGAACCAAAACCCTTGAGCTTGTGGCTCGGGGCGACTTTCGAGTAAAGTTTGTGAAGTTTGCAAAGTTTGTGAGTTCGTGGGGCCGATCTAAGACCTGTTTGGACTATTCGAGCCGGTTAGGGCTTGGTCGAAGTCAGTCCAACTTAGTCTGAGGTCACCAAGTTTGTAGGTTCATGTTATGAACCAATTTTGTGAATCCGGTTCACCGAGAAAGTGACCAAGTTTGTGACCCGAGCTTGTGACTCAAGCTCAAGTTTGTGATTTCGTTCGCCCGGGCAAGTTTGTGAGGTGACTGGCCAGTGAGGGTGATAAGGTGTCGGTGGGTGTACAAGTGAAGTTCTACGGACCATTGAGTGTGGTCGACGGAGTGTCGGCAGGAGATCACGCATGGCATATGAATTGGCTTTGGAGCCACCTGTATCCTTATTATGTGATGTTACTTTTCTGCTTTTGCTTTACTCCTACTGTGGAAATGTGGTTACGTGAAATTTACGCTTTTGCCCCTGTTTACTTACTAAGCTTCCAGCTTACCCCGTTTCCTTTGTTTTCCTTAGCAGGGGACGACGCGGGGAACTTTGGGACTCTGCCGCTAGTAAAGTTAGGTCTAGTTTGTAATAGTTGGATAGTTAAGATGTTTGTTTTTGTTTTGGTAGTTTGTATAAGAACCCTTCTTAGGGTCTATCTTCTGCTAGTTGTGGTTATAATGTATTAGAGTGGTTTGACTCGTTACTGTTGAAGATGTAAATATACCTTTTGGATTGTTTATATTGTATTTAGTGCTCTTTCGAACTTTAAGTTTTGAGTCCTGGCGCGAGCTAGGCAGGCGGCCCGCTGATACCCTTGGGTTCGCCCTTGGGAGAAGTGGGGTCGTCACAGAAACTCAATTAGAGTTGTTTAAAACGCAATAAGCGGAACAAGAATCGGAGTTTTGAGCACCAAGATATAGTAGCTCAAAATTGCTGAAAATTTGAGAAAACACTACAACAAAAATGACCTTTAACAGCATTTAAAAGTGTCAGTATAGATAATCTAACTTGACATTTTACCTTTCCTCACACCTCGGACGAGTGTCGTCCTTTCCAATGTAGGGATAGGTATATAGTATTCAAATGTGTCAGGAAAACTATGCTGTTATAACATCTCATCTGCCAACGAAAATTCCTTTTCTTGATAATCGAAAGTGTCAGGATAGCTATGGTTAGTAATAAGTAGGAGTTTTTTTAACGGAGTTATGCTGACACTTTTAACTGTCAGTAGTTTTTTTTTTTTTTTTGATATAGAAGCAACCTGCGGGTAGTGCTCCCAGCTATACATTCCGTGAATCAAAAAATCCAAAGGACTTGTAAAATTATCCCAAAGAACAGAATGCATATAGTAATCTAAAAGCAAAAGTCAATGTTCAAATATAATTTGTTGAACTAAAAGTCAGTAACAAGTACAAACTTGAAAGATTCCCTAACAAGTATAATTTGTTGAACTAAAAGTCAGGTAACGTAATTGTACAACATTAGCAACGATTCGCGAGAGGTACAGTAAATATATATAGTACATTGTTTAGGCGCCTATAAAGCAGGATATTAAAACCGAGCAACACATACCGTCAGCGAACTAATCAAAGTGAAGTCAGCTCCATGAATTTCTGTCTAATGTGATAATTGTCTGCACCAGTAAAGTACTTTACGGGCATTTTCTTTGAACATTAGAAGCTCCATGTTCCTCAAACCTGTTAATCAAGAGATAAAGCAGACTGAAAATGGGGAGAAAAAAAGGAGAAAAGTTGAATATTGAAAGGTAGAGTGGATGTAAAAGCTTACTCAGATTTTGAAAACCACATTTGCTTAAAGGAACCAAGTGACGCCAATATACTCCCACCTATCCAAACAGTGAATGCGACAAGTTAGTCAATGCGCAGCATACTGAGATGCATCTAAAGCAATGTAGCTTCTAAATGCAAAGAAATGTCCACTTCAATCATAAAGCAGAAGCAAATTGGTCTAAACATGCAACTTTGGAGGAAGCACCGCGGCACATCTAGACTATATCGTAAGTAAACATATCAAATACTGTAAATTTTTGTATTTGGAGAAATCCAGCAATTTGCTGACTATAACAAAGTTAATTCTCCTAAACATCATTTAAATGTTACACGCAAAATTATTGCATAAATTTGCCCTGGAAATCGTATTCTTCCCCATTCATATTCTCTTACCTTTCATTTTTAAACATCCCCAAATAAAATTTCAGAAAAAATCAAAGCATATAGTTTTGAGAGGGCTTTCGACTTTCTGAGAAACTGATGGACCATTTCTCAAGTTGGAGAAGAAAAGCTCATGAAGAATATATATGCAATTAGCACAAAGAAATTAGTCTGAAATGAAGATCATAACAAGGTGAATGTAAAGAGATGCAGAGTGACAACTAGATACCATTTTCAAATAGAAACTCAACTTTTTCAGGAGAACCACGTAATCTCCTTGCAGTAATTTGCAAAAGAGCACCATCTATAAGCATGTGTTGTACCACTCTTGCAATATTTTTGGTATCATCAATTCCAAGATGGTGACTTCCTAGTAGCGAAATTTGGAGTTCCCTCATCATTGAACCATTCCTGGAGTTTGACGATCAAAAAGTTTATCACTACAATCTGAGAAGTTTAACACAACTTGGTCTAATCAACAGCAGCTGCAAACGAGCATTGGGCTGAGATGAAACACTCTATAAAATGCATAAACTCACAGACCAATCTCACACTAATGCAACGTACTCTGAAAGTAGATTGTACAGTAACATGGCAGTCACACAACTAAATCATGCCAACCTATGGTTCACATAGTGTAATCAACTCAGCTAAATCCAAAGGGAATCATTTCAGAATCAGAAATGTGTAAGTACAGCAAACTCACCCTTCACTTGCCAAAGAGAGATCAAATTAAAGAAAAAGGCTAACATTCAATAGTCAGTCATTAAATATGTATTGTATAAACAATATCTCACCCTTAGTTCCACATGGGAAAGATAAGGCCTCCTCTCTGTGTCATGAGAAAATTGAACTTTTCCCTTTTTCTCTCCTGACTTCATCCATTCCTTATTAACATTGGGATGAATCCACATATCTTCCATGTCTTCTTTCAAAGTTCTGGAGTCCCAAGTTGTATTCAATGGACCTGCTGCCTCATGTATAAACACACAAAATTTATCTTTCAGCACAAAGTATTATCATAGTTACAGAAAATGTATACCAATTAAGTGACAATGAAGTTTTTACATTTCAATACGTTTCTTAAGCAATGTACTGAATAACATAATTACTTGGGTATATGATGACAAGCAAGCAGAGCATACTGCCCCTACGTAGATGCTATTTTTTTCTACTGCAAGATTTAGAGGAAATAAAGTCTGCTATTAAACGGAAAGACTACTTGATTGTGTTTGGATAAAAATATTTCGTAGTTAAGTTAGATAGGAGCTTACAACATCACAATAATAATTTCTTTAGCACGAGTAATGAGTTGCTTGCTTAGTAAAAGGGAAAAATACAAGTGATAAATTTCTCAATAGAAAAAATCTGAACAAAAAAAATAATAATTCCCTCGAAAAAGTTGAAGGTAGCACGGCATTATCAAATTGTCATCCATGATCCATTGTGTGTGTGTGTGTGTATATATATATATCCATTGCGTATCTCATTTATTTATGAGATTAGGACACGCCCCTAAATAAAGTTCGAAACACACAGTGACGCACTAACTGGCCAACCACAGAACATGACACATTACTACGCTACCGTAAATTGGGAGCCAGAATTTTAGGTAGAAGTTAGGATAAGGCCTGCCTGGCATGCGCTGATAATAATCCACTCCATTCCAGCTGCCAATCTGATTGTAAAGCATAGTATGGTATGGGCACTGCAGTTTCGATGATCTTTGGAATTAGCTAGTATTTATAGCGCTACAAGTTTATCTTCATGTTGAGACGCGAATAAATTCTGGTCTAGTGACTCGTTAGATAGAACCAAGGTTTCTCATTAGCACTCACCGCTTGTTTTTGCCTGACGAAGGATATTTTAGCTATTCTAATTTGAAATTGTGATGAAAATAAAAAATTATGACTATGGCAATATCAGCAGGCAATAGACTGTCAAAGTCCAGAATGAATAACTTCTTTTTTGGGGACAATTTTAATGATTGTTGAATCTATCTTTTAAATTGTATGCCTTTAGTACGATGTCCCTCCTCTCCCCAACCTTGCTCATGTTGGCGGTCACATTAGAGCAAAAAAGAGAAACGACATAGACTCTGTCCAAACTCGTTTAGGGAACACTACCACTTATAAAGGAGCCCAAAAAAATAATTATTATTTAAAAAAAACAGAGCTATCCTTTGAATCCTGACAAGTGATAAAGACACCGGAATTGGGTTCTACACTGGATAACGAGGAACGATGCCTGGCTGTGCCGGAAAAGGTCGGCTGGCATGAATGCATAAATTTTCTTCTTTCTTCATTCGAACCTTCCGACAAATAGGTAGTGAGCATGAAAAGTTTTGAAATTTCTTTTTCATCAATTCCTTATACGGCCTGAGCTTGATTTTAAATCTAAAGCTCTACTCAAACCTATGATCAATTCCAGCCACTTAAAATCGATTAACAAGATGAAAGTAAAGCATAACCGACATGATTGCAGACAAAGAAGAAAACAATACAATTAAGGGGGAAAAAAGTACAAGAGTGTGGGAAACTTTACAGTGATGATTTCCGCTGTAGTGGCTGGACTCCAATGAGATGATAGCGGTAACCTTCGCCTACTCTACTCCTCGGCACGGTCAACCTGAATATCTAGTCAGTAAGGAGAAGCATGGGGATGGGTTTCAGAGGAAAGAAGAAAAAGGAAAGAGCACGAGTATCTATTTTCTTATTCTTTTTGTCCTAGCAAAGAGAGCGAAGGCTTATTGGTGCAGGTGTCGTGGTTGACCGAATAGGGTAGGGAAGCGGCCGAGTTAGCAACTGAAAATAGGGGAGTGGGCGGCGGCGAAGACGGAAGACGGAAGAACCAAAATGGGGGAGTTTTGAGGGATAGTTTGCCGAGAGAGAGAGTTTGTGAGAGAGATGAGAAGAACCAAAATTTCGCTGGCTTGCAAAATAAAAGTTTTGAAATTTCACTAAGTGTTTTGGCAAGGAATCTTTCGCCAAAATAAAACAACATCATTTTATGTTTTAATTTTTTTGGTGTATCTCACATTTTTTCAAGTGTCATGATAGGGAATCTAAAGACACATTATTATTTTTATATCAGATAAAAAAAACAAAATTAAAGTATATATTATTGAATTGATAATAAGTGTCATGATAGAATAGCTATAATAACAAAAACCAGCAAGTGTCCTTTTAGGCGTGTCAGGAAAAGCCATTTTTGTTGTAGTGCAATTAGGCAATTTTCAGGTTTAAAGTACCAATTTTGGGATTTTGTTCGAGTATTGAAATGGGCTCGGAATGTCACCAAAATTAGCAATATTACAATATCATATAAGTTCTATTTCTCTGTAAAATTTCATAGAAAAATACGCATGGAAAGTCAGTTAACAAAAGCACTAAAATCCCAAAAAGTTCCAAGGCAAATCTGCCTTGGACTTTCGTTTTTCCGTTTTCAAGCATTTGGCCAAGGAAATTTCCTCAAACATGGTTCATTGGTGTAGACAAGGTATAATAAACATCTAAGATGTGTTTGGTAGGTGATTACCAAGAATTTCGAAACAACAAGTCCCAATAAAAATTAAAGCTTTGAACTAGCCAAAAGAGGGTTTGAACTCACCAAATCAGTTTGGAATTTCGGCCAGAACTCAATCAATTCAACTCAAAATTGAGCGTGGTTAGTGGCGTTGAAAACTAGATTCATAAAGCTACAATTTCTTAGAAAAAATCATTTTCAAAATCTATCCACAACTAGCTCACATTTGAGCATCAATTCACTGCTCAAAACATAGCTCCCAGTGTAGACGTGAAACAGGACAGTCATGTTTAAACGATTGGTACGGACTGCTCAGGTAGAATCAAAATGTGCATTTTATACCGTTGTAAAGCTGGTAATGTCTAGTTTCCAGTGCCATAAACAGTACTCAATTTTGACATTGAAGAAAAATTTTATAGCCAAAACAATAACACTGTCAGAGTAGTTACGGGAAAAATTTCCAGTTTTGCTGGTTTCTGAAAACACATCATTTGGCCAACCAAATCACGTTATTTTTTGATGAAACTTTCTACATAACCCACACAACATATATACATCATAACCAAGTCATTAGAACCACGAAAAATCACTTTAAAGGTCACGAGCAACACAGGGGCAGAAATGGAAATTTTCACCTTCACTCCTCTTTGAACTTTCATCCATAATATCACTCATTTCCACTAATTTAAGCACTAAACCAACATTAATATCATCAAAACATAACAAATCAGTCCATCCAACTATAGTGGGAATTCATAGAGTCCATACAACATTTTCCAACATAAATAAGGCTACCGACATGCATGCATGAGCTTATAAATGCTATATTACTTCCATAAGACAAGATTTGAGCAGTGGATCATCACTTACTTCCTTAGATGAACCAAGCAGAAATTTTCGGTCCTAAGATACTCAAGAAAACAGTGGAAAGCAGCCCCTTTTTGTAGCTTGAGCGGTTCACCAAGTGAATAGCTAAGTGTTGCCAAATTTTGGTGTGAAATGGTGAAGGATTGGTGCAAGGAATGAAGAAGAAATTGATGAAGCAAGTTTAGTTCTTTGCTCTTGAGGGTGCACGGCTGTTTGGAGCTGGAGAGAGAGAGTGTGCAATGCAAATGAAGCTTCCAAGAGAAGCTAAAATGTGTGGTCACAATTTGTCCAAAAGTCAACCCTCTCCCCGTGCACGCACACGCGTGTTTCGTGCTCGATTATTCTCGAGTTTGTTTCACTAGTGTACTAAACCTCTAATGCACTTCCATTCATATTATTATTATCCACTCTTATGGGTTTAAAAATAATGGTCTAAAGTCTCTCAATTAATAGCGCGTGTAAAAATACGTACTTCCTATTTAAGCGCGATAAAGTGAAACTTCCAAGAAATTCTTATAACGATAGTATAACTAACTAATAATTGAACATTTAAACATAAATATACCTATTTTAAGACTAATGTACATGTTTCCAATTTTTCAAACTCATTGTACTCTCAGATCGGCTATTGTCTCCAAACGCGTATTCACTATTTTCACTTACCGAGCTTCCAAACAAATAAATTTTGCAACAAGTCACTTTAAAAATATAATTGAGTTATAGACCCATGTAATTAGGTCTAAAGAGCTTAGAAAATAATATTCGGAGTAAATGGCCAAGTAAATAATTAAATAAGTTAGAAATAGGAAATTAAATAAGTAAATTTTGTGAGTCCTCACATTCTCTCCCCCTTAAGAAAATTTTGTCCTCGAAATTTACCTCGATTGGTGAACAGGTCTAGATGCTTTCCCCGAATTGCTTCTTCGACCTCCCAGGTGGCTTCCTCTAACTCATGATTTCTCCAGAGAACTTTTACCAA